TATTACATATTTTTAAACGAGTATAATTTAAAACATTTCAAGGTATATTAATTATGAAAATCTGATTTGGATAGTAAAATATTTAATTAAATATTTTAAAATCTGTACTATTTATTTATTTAATATGTATAGAATTTGTTATATCAGAAAAGTATGTAAGTTTAATATAAATCGTAGGTATTTTTGCATCGTAGGCCGAGAATGCTATTTTTTATTAAAATCTTAAATTAAATAGATAAAAACTCTCGTAATTACATGAGTAGATTACAAAAATATTGTCCAATCTCTCTTATTCTTTACCTATCACACCATAACTAGGCAGACTGGGGTCGCACCCTGTATAGGAAAATAGTTCACAAAATTAAAACACTAAAATCCTGTATTACAGTTTCACAAAGAACTGAAACTCCTGAAATATCAATTTTAAATTGTGTACGAAAAGTGGTTTCATTTTCAATCATTTTAAACAGAAAGAAAGAAACATTAAAAACAGAATCATTATAGGTAGATAGTAATGACTAAATAGGTAAGTATTTTTTGTTTTCTTAATCATTTTAATTTCTGTGAACGATTTTAATTCAAACACACACAGCCCATCATTACATGACAGCCCCTTACACTAATGCACCTTTGGCGTCGATACTGAACTTAACATAAATAAATAACGTCTAACCAAAACATTGTACAACGTAACATTTAACTAAATCATTGGTTTTTCAAAATAAGGAAAATATTTTAAATATTTGCAAAGTTAATTTTCTTAAATATAAATGCGTAAAATTCCAAAACCTAAAATACAAACAAGAAGGTGACTAACATATTTTTAATTCCAAAGGAAAAATAGCTTTACATTTAACTAAAAAGCCTTCTATTCAGTGCAGCTAAGCAGACACAAAGCTATCTTATAGCCCTGAAAATAAATTAGTGCTTACTTAGTTCACTAAACTTATTTAATTACAAGTATCTACAATTTATACATCGATCAAAACAATTAGTAATATTTGCATGTGAACTTCAAGCTTAAATTCCTTTAATTACGAAGAGCATTTAAAACTACTAAGTTAACATTATTTTCTTTCAATACATATTTGATTATACATGAGTCAAGAATAGGAACGAATAGCTATTCTCTTCTTTCCTCATATTGTGCCCAAACTTCATTATTTGTTTCAACTACTCTCTAGTTACATAAATAGATATTAAGAAGCAGTCAGTTTTATTTAAATTAATAAAACATGTCATAAAGTATAGTGGTCCGCTTAATGATAGTTAAATAGTGCATCAGTAACGAGTTATGATTGAAGAAGTAGTTACCCTCAGCAATTTAAAGCTTGAACATACTGAATGAGTCGAACGAATCGAATGTCTGGTGGTTCAGATGAGTAGAAGATAAGCTCCTCACGTTTGGGAAATCTAAATGTCCTCTTCATAATGATATTGATACATTAGTGAGAACTAACAGTTCAGCAGTAAACAAAGACTAATCCAGCAGAAGATGATGGTCCATGAGATCAGAAGATAAGCTCCTTGCCCATGATAAATTGAAGTGTCCTCTTCACAAACACAGATATAAAAGGTTCCAAGAATCGACATGAGGCTTGAAGAAAAACTACATCCAGCAGTAGCCAATACTATGTTGATAAGGATCTAAATCCTGTGCACTTTGCCGCTGGTGCCTACACGTGCGCGGGCACAAGCGGCGCGCGCGCAGACGCGTGTCACAGGTAGGCCACGAACAGCAGCATCGACAGCAGCAGCAGCGACGCGCCGCTCACGCCCAGCCGGGACGACTTGGACAGGATGCTCTTCCCTGGAACGAGATTACTTGGATTAGTTATGATGTCAAATGACTAAAGCCAATAGCCTGAATACTCAATGTAATTGATTAGACTGCCTTTAGAAAAATCCACAGAGCAAGCAAAGCAGTGGAAAGAGTTAGTTGATTTTAAGCGCTTAACTATTCGCGACAGTAAGAATTAAAAAGGGCACGTCGATAACACAATCTTATTTCCTGGCAAGGCTGACAATTGAAGCTATATGCGTCTGTGAAACATGGCTGACAGAGGAAAAAATTGAACTGATACATTTCAGTGGATACAAAATAGCGGCTTCATTCTGTAGAAAAGATCGAACAGGCGGCAGTNGCTGACTTCGGTAAAATGATGTGACGTGAGGTGCCAAACTGCGGAAAATGGCGGAGGAAATACATGATTTAGCATGTTATCATGAATAATATTAACTACTTATTTACCTCTCAGTGTCTTGAGGCAACTTAAAAAAGTACATTCTGTGTTTTTATTATTATTTAGGCAGTTAAATACTGCACAGTATTTAGTACACCATTTTCTTCATTTTCTTCCATCATACACACTAACATACACAAGAATACGCGTGCGTGAGTCAATGTTCGCTCGTATGTGAGGCCTTGTCGAATAGTATCCTGTAGGTGGGCCATCGTGCGTGTTTTGTTTTCGATGTAAACTCGCGGAGATGAACAGGCCTGGTGTTACGAACTTATTGGCTACTTTGGGTGTCACGAACTATTTGACGCGTACCTCTGCGTTCATGAACATGTTCTAAACGCAATCCGCGAGAGCCATAAAGAAGAAAAAAAAAAGTATTAATCTAAGACATGTACCACATCGTCTCAACTACAGTCAGATTTTACGTTTACGCCTTGTCAGCTTATTCTACAGAAAAGAAGTAGGTAACTAAGTACCTGTTAAGTTATAGTAAAGACTGTTTGTTTGCTTAGGTTGTTCTAGTAGTGTGTGCAGGCTTCTCACTAGGTGGACCGACGATCAGGTGAAGATCATAGTAGGTACCTGGATGCGGGCAGCGAAGGACCGAATCGTTATGGAAATCTTGTGGGAGGCCGAATACGAGTAATATGTTGGGGGAGGCCTTTGTCGTCGGCCGTCATTTGGCTGAAAAGAACGATCTAATAGAGTTATGTAGGTATTCGATATAATGTCTGAAAATGTTTTTCACCATAACTGCGGAACCTTACCCCTTTAAAATCAGCTCACACATGACCCTTTAAATTTTTTACCTTTTACTTTCGAGCGGCGGCGTGCTCGTAAAATTTGTTATTAATACAGTAAAATTGGGATTAGTATTAAATTGGAAACAAGCGGTTTAATTGGCGCTCCCGCGGGCGCAATATCCGTTCGGTTATTGTTTCGACGCACGCGCACGGTGACCAAACTGTTTTGAAAAACGCACTGAAAAAAAAAACGACTAATGCATTGACGGACTTGCTGTTAGGACTAACTTTCTCATGGAGAATGGAGTTACAGTTTTAATGGCGACATTGAGACTGAAACGGATTGCTTTAATTTATAATTCAAGTTCTTCTGATGTCGTGACTCCATTTTCAACGGTTGTGTCTGGTGTAGCTTAATCGTTTCTTTATGTTTGTAAATTAATGATGATACCTACACTTTTACGTGATGAAAACGAAGCTCAAAATTCATTCTAGCTCAATGCCTGCATACCTACTTACGTTTGACTCTGAATTTCGTTAATGTCGCATGTCGGAATCAAGTTTAACTTTCTAGCCTCAAACTAAGTTCTGAAGCTGTTTGCCTCTGTTTTTCTTCTTATTCACCTTAGTAATTATTATAAGTTCTATTTTATATTACCTATGTTAGGTTGTATTGTGACATCTGAATAATTGGCCACCCTATCTTCCGCAGAGGCATTGTGCACCGAATCAATTACGCGTTCTTACAAACCAAAATAGCTCTAACAGAGGAAGTCGCGTCGTCAGATTTCTATATTATGTCACAAATAGCTGCACTTTTATTACCACCTATTACCGAACTATGTATTTACATTCGCGGTAATGATGTGTAGTCAGTATTTGCAGTGACGTAACTGGTAACACTGGTAATGCTATTTATGTGTCAACAGCGAATTGATTTTCATTTTAGATCACAATCGCGAGATTATTATGATAATCTAGAGATCAAGGAGTAAATAATGTGTTTATTATCTATCAATCATTGTCTATTTATCACCATTATCAATGTGCGCAGACAGCGTATCGTAAATCCTCAATCAAGTTTAATCATCAGCTGATTCAATCAGTCACTAATAAATCATTCAATAATCATAATCGTAAGAATTAGTTGTACTTAAAAATGAAATTCACGTATAAGAATTGTTGTAAAAGGGATTTTTCACTTATCAATCTTGATCTAACTTAATATAAATTGTAAACGATTTGATTTGATTTTTCAGCGAGTCATTATCTGAAACGGCAGTATCATCACGATATTTAAAGATTTATCTACTGTGGTATCATCTATTTAAGAAATTAAAAAATATCAAAATATTGTTCGATGGTATACTTATGTTGCCTGAATCTGTGTTTAACTCCAAAAATGAATAAAACAAAATTCCATGAACAAACCAATATATTCCGAAGATATGTTCAAAATATTCTTAAAACTAACCGTTAGTTTGTAAATATAAATATTTGTACAGTTCTCAATAAATTTAAACTACCAGAGAATCTTGCCCCTGCAACTATAGCTTCTCTATTAAGTACCATTACACTAGGAAATAATTACAATACCTATTTACACGATTGCACCCACTTATAATTAATTCACAAAATTATTAATTTCTGGTCCAAAAGGCTTTACTTATTTGAAAAAGTAGAAATTATTATCCATTAACATCACAATTTTTAAAGAGTAAACTGAAACTGGAAAAATATTAAGTTTTACAATTAATTTATCAATAAAAAGAAAGAGTAGGTAATTCGGCTTTGAATTCATTTAAAGTCTCTGATTGTGAGGAAGTAAAATCAAAGCAAAGCAACTTTGAGATATCTACGTTAATTATTTATTATTACGAGTGTAATTTGTTAACGTTCAGTAAAATCTATCTTTATTCTCAGATAACAACAATTCATCATATTAATTCAATCTGAGACAAATGTGAAATGGTGAAACTATGCATACAATCTAATCAATCTCTATTTATCTTACAACGCTGTAATTAATAGATAATTATTTACACTAATTGTTTAATACTTTGTAATCATTCGTAAACCTTGTTGGCAACACTGACAAATATTTTCATTGCCTTTCATGCCCCAACCGCAAAATAAAAAATATGACACTTCAATTTCATATTGATATCCAGATCTTAGCCGTTGTCTATATTTTTTTGACATGCAACAAAAACAAATATAATTTAATCACGTCACATCTACCACAACACTATCACTCAGTTGAGCATTATCACGTAACCCTTACCAAATGCTTCAACCTTTTCAGTCATGGTGCTTTAAATCTTATATCTACAATGTCTCTGCACTTTAAGAATGGTCCTCATGAATTGCACTCGTCCTCCCAGTCAAATACTCCACTGTCTTATAAACCGCACGATCAAATCCTCCCAGTCAAATACTCCACTGTCTTTTAAACCGCACAATACACTGCACAGATCACGTTTGTGGGAAATAGCGCACTTTTCAGATTTTCAGATTACCGTATAGCGCGTCAACAGTTTCACTATTGGCACTTTATCGGCGACTAGCGCGCTCATAATGCGTACGGTTTGGTCTGGAAACGATGTTTAGCTTGAGAGTATGTGCTTCCTTCAGGAACCGGCGTCTAACGAGTAGCGCAGCTGTCAGGAAATAGCGCGAATTAGACAGCACGTTTGTCAGAGTGCGTGCGTGTGGTGAGGAGGCGGCGGTTGCTGGTGAGGGTGGGGCAGCGAGTGGGGATTGCTCGCTGCGTGCTGTCGACCCTGTGGACAAAGAAAACAAGTTCAATATTAAGGCAACCAAAATGTTTGATAATATTTGTGTAATGGAGGAAACATAATTTACCTGAAGGTACACATAATAGTCGTAAGGCTGATGTAGAGGCCAACACCTCTGCGGGGGTACAGGGTACAGCGGGGGCACGGGGTACAGTCCGCCGCCTCCCAGCTTATTCCTCAGTATCCTGCTGATGCTGGAGACTGAGGGCACGTTGTACTTGTCGCAGACGCCGTCCGCCAGCAGTCTGTCGCGGATCTCCCACGCGAAGATACCGGGGTCTTTCGCTTTCAACTGTTTTATGTAGGAAACAACCTGGAATATTAGGGAGTATTAATGCTAATTTTGAATGATGGATTTATTTTCATGTAAAGTCGAGTTCGAAGGTCTCTACTTTGCCTATTACAGGCTAAGGTACATCTTTACAACTTTCAGAGACATTTTGAATTAGGTTCTTTCTATAAGATGGTGTGTACCTTAGGTGTGGTGACCCTGGGTTTGGAGCCCCCAATAGCTCCTGGCAGTATGGAGCCCGTTTCGTGGTATCGCGCTAAGATCTTCGACACGCACCCATGGGACACCCTTAACTGTCGACTGATGTCACATGGCCTGGCAAATAAAGTTACAGTTTAACAAAAAAGTAGATGAAATGAAATTAAGAATAACTAGGATATGTATTTCTAATTCAAGAACAAATCTCCATAATACACTAACCAAATGCCTCGTGACAACATAAGGGCAGGCAGCTGCGCCCGAGCAGCTAGGCGCCATAGGGTGCCAGCCGTTGTTGTGTTGTGCCGTTGTCGTCACAACTCCAGAAGGGGGGAGAGTCGCATATAGGGACATGGATGAAGAGTAAAGAATTTGTAGGGAGTCAAGCAGTGTGGCGCAGTCGAAAACGCAGCTCCGCGTACACCTCCCGCGATTCAGCCAGTTATAACCGCAAGGTTGGAAGGCTGTCCCTATCAAATGCCCCTATTTGCGGGCTTACCTGATCCCTAACTGGGCTAGCTCCACAATCCGCAGGCGTACGGCGTTGGGCAGCGGCTGGCCGTTGATGAACACGCCGCCCAGCTGGTTCACCTCGCCGTGCTGCTGCGTGCCCTCTATATTGACACTAGAGGTGGATCCTCACCTGATCCCTAACTGGGCTAGCTCCACAATCCGCAGGCGTACGGCGTTGGGCAGCGGCCGACCGTTGACGAACACGCCGCCCAGCTGGTTCACCTCGCCGTACTGCTGTGCGCCCGCGCCGCCCACGCCCGGGTTGCCCATACCGCCCGCGCTGGGGTCTGAAAAGAAACAAACTGTAAGACAAAGAACAAAGAATTTTGTATCTCTCGTTCGCACATCACTGCAACTCAGGACACTGTGAAGTCAGGATCTAAAGCTTGATGGTCAATAAAACAAAACCAACGAAATCTGAACTAGTCCTGAGAGACATTTTAACTGCAAAAAACTGGGTCTATATAAATTGTAGCAAAAACTATACTCGTAAAGAACAAACTCCTAACAACGCACTTTGTTAGACAATTAGATACACTACTGTCGGGTAGAACAGGTTAATAGTGAGATTATTCTTAATAGCTAACAGTTTAACAGCTCTCTCCATTTATTAATTTTGTCAAGATCATAAACTGAAGAATGTTGTTACAATCTGCTCCGGACAGAAACATGATGGTTTCGATAGCCACAATTCAGCGGCGGCGTAATTTGTCACTGGAGCACACATGGGCGGTGACGTCAGCGCCTGCGCCCGCGCAACGGTGGCCAAAACTGGACAGATTTCCCGGATAACGGCCTATTTATATTTCGGGCAAGGCAGAGTAAACAGTAAATAAGAACCCAAGAGTGCTGTTTCGGGCAAGGCAGAGTAAACAATTAAGAACCAAGAGTGTTTAAATGTTTGAGGAAATTCAGAAGAAAATCATTGAGTTTGCATGAAGAAAATCTCCGTAACGATTTCGATGTCATAAATATTTGAAGGCATTTTTTCAGAATCGTGATTCGCTTACTTTAAAACGGATTGAATATTTCGTTTTTGCTCTATGTATTGAAATGTTTTTTTTTTACTTTATTTCCATAAAAATGTATCCTGAAATCATCTAGCTACCCATGGGCACGGTAGCGTGCGCCCGCGCTTCGGCCCGTCTGTCACCGAACACCGCCGCGACCTTTGAAGTCTTTTTGTGAAACCCCAGACGAATGTGGCCGTCATAAAGCAAACTTATTGTTCCCTTTTATTAGTTTAATTGGCAGCCGACACTTTGTCTCCAAGGGCCCTTTGAAGGTGAACTGCTGGGCTCCTCTTTCATCTGCTCGATATTTATTTTGGCAAGGGCGTGTCGAAATTCAAAGTCCAAATCTATGAGGTCAAATACAGCTAAGCAAAGATTAATAACTGTAGCAACATTGTTATGTTATAACTTTTAAACCTCAGTCAGGAAAAATAACCATAAGGTTCAATAGCGCAAAGCGCAGAGTAAGAATACATACTTTGTAGCCTCTACTCTGTTTTCAATTAGTTTTTAGATACGTAAAATATGTGATTTTTCGGAGATCAAGCAGCAATTGGTGATGAAGGTAGAGATCACCACCACCGAATCAACAAAAAACGATAAGAATACAGATGTTTTTGTAAAGCAGCTAAAGATACATAAAGTAAGTACCTAACTGTCATATTTTGTAACCATCGTATATTTCCAACATCATCAACAACTGTTTGTTGCTCGAAACAAAACACCCTCGTCACTTTGACGCGAGCGACACCCGACCCGCGACACGTCAGTTATTGTCGCCGATAGATGTCGCCGTGTCGCGTTCGGGACGCGCGCGCGCATGTCACCTGTCAGCTGTAATAGCCTCACTTTGGTTACAAGTTGGCGTTTAATTAACGAAATTATGCAGCTTTTACTCATAGCTGCATGTCAGTATGTAAGTAGGTCTTCGTGTTTCAGTAGTAAGAGCCATAGTTTCGACTCGGAGATCGTTTATTCCCAGGTTCTATGATGAGAAGTCCCAGCTCTTAGTATTTTCATTTGACATCTAAAGTAAAGCTTGTATGTATTACTTACACAATCAACCGGTACAGTTTCGCAAACTGCTGAAAACTCTACCAAGGGTGTCGAAAGTACCGAGGGCAGTTCGACTGAAAACAGTTCGATAAGTGAAGAAATACAATACAAATAAAATAAATAACTTCAAAATTTATGAACTTATGAATCTAATGGATTATTCCGGGAGGAATAATCTTCATCATAGGGAGGCTGCTCTTAAATCTGTAGGGTAATTCAAGTGCAATCTGTCATTTCAATCTATTCTATTTGTCATTTAGCTTGTTTAATCTGTGCTGAATAAAGTGCACAATATTTAAGCAGGATATGGTTGCACGCGGATTTTTAGAGAGTTAAATCTTTTGGCCAATAGAAAACGTCGATCGANACATCGAATACAACGAAAAAATAGATATAACTGATATGTCGTTAGAGTATATACTAGAGATATGTGCAATTGAACTTATAAATGAAAATATTATAATAATTAATATGTACTGGAATAGGAGAGAGGAAGCTTTGTTTATTAATCGATTACAAAGTATTTTAAACTATGTTACCAATAAATATTATAAATACAATATTATTATAGGCGGAGATTTTAATATAAACTTATTGCAGCATAATATAAAAACATGTGAATACTTAGATTTGATGCTAGAACATAAATTCACCCAACACATTAACGCTCCCACCCATATAACTCAGACAACCGAAACATGCTTAGACCATATCTTTACAAATTTTAAACCAAAATATCTTGAAACAAAAGTAGAAGAATTAGGATTTTCAGACCATTCAGGAGTTATAATCGATTTTAAAATACCTAAAATATTAAAACGAGATACTTGGATAGTAGAGAAACGCTTATTTAACAAAAAAGCAATATCACAATTCAGAGCAGAATTAAAATTAGTAAACTGGGATAATATAATTAAAAAAAAAGGTAATATTAATGAAAACTATGAAGCTTTTCACAACAAAATTAAAGAAATATTAAACACATGTATTCCAAATCAAAAAGTAAAGTTAAAAAATAATTATAAAAAATATTGGTTAACAAAAGGTATTAAAAAATCCTGTCAACATAAAAGGCTTCTAAAAATTTTTGCGTTAAGGTCAAATAATAGAATAATAAATAACTACTATAAAAAATACGAAAAAATACTTAAGAAATCGATTGTCTGGGCTAAAAAAATTCATTATATAAATAAAATAAAGCTTTCGAATAATAAAGTTAAAACGATGTGGAGTATAATAAACGAGAGAACAAATAAGAAAAACATAAAAGATAAAAGTAACATTAAAATTAAAATAAAAGACAATCTTTGCTCAAACCCAAAACAAATCGCAGACCACTTTAATGATTTCTTTGCATCCATAGGTGAACTTCCGTCTCCCAAACGCCCACCAGGTGGCAGCACCAGCCCTAGTCAACCCGTCTATAACCATCGTGTGATGAATCCTACAGAAAACACAATGTTCCTAAACCCGGTAAATTGTCGCGAGATCAACAGAATCATCAAATCTTTAAAAAATAAAAACAGCCACGGAATAGACGAAATACCACCTAATCTATTTAGAGAGTGTGCAAACGAGTTAGCATTGNATTATGCGATTGCTTTGGTGCTTTTGGCAAGATAATTGACACCACATATTTATAAAGAAAGAAAGATAAGGAAAGATCTCACCGGGTTTCGTCGGATTAGTTTTCTAGGCTTTTAGCTTAGGCGCTGTGCTGGTGTGTACTCGAAGCTTTTTTTCTCACCTACAGTATTTCTCACTCAAAAATACCACTAATTTTTACACATCTGACTATGTTAATAGTTAATCGCGACTATGATTTCGGGTAATTTTCACTGTTAGAACATTTGGGTTTCACCGTCGCGTCGGCGTCAAACGCCATAGAGCTTTGTAAGTGCCTTTAAATTTTAGGGTCGGACCGTCTGGAGCGCACGTGTTGCGCACGTCCACTCCCGAAGGCTGCCCAAAACGAACTCAGACGTGTGATGTATGAACTAAGAACAATAATTATTTATAACTATTCAAAAATTTCAAACATAATCAAACAAATTTCATTAATAACCGAGTTCTGTTATTAAAAGAAAGATATTTTTAGTTGGATAGGTCAAAATTAATGCTCTATACTGAGAATTAGAAAATAACATAATGAGTCCCAAACGGATTGCAGTCCTTTGCAAAGCAAAAATGTTTCTGTCAACCAAAAAAAATACATTCAAGAATCAAACGGTGGAAACGGCTGGCGATTCAAAAGCCGTCACTCTATTAAATTATTCCGTTTCGGCGGCTCAAAATGGCGGCCGTAATGTTGCCAGTATAAAAAGCCCAGTGAAAGGGGTGATTTTTTTTCTAGCAACTTTTCCTCGGTCAAGAGTTCCGCTCGTGTTTGGACAAATTGTTAGTCGCCGCGTTTTCGAACGCCTGAGAATTTTTTTCCCGCAATTGGCATTCTGTGCGGATTGCGGCCGCTTTCGGGTAAGGCAATTCAATTTTATTGTTTGCGATCGCTATTGAAGGTTTGTATTAGAACCGTAATTATGTAAAGGCCACGGAATGGAGGCTTTGGACACGCGAATGTAATATTTATAATGCTTTTAACAAATGTTTGTGTGATTTAAGAGTAATCTACAAAGTTTTTACGACCTCTTGAATTCTTTTTTATCTAAGTTATATACGAAGACATAAAAGTAATATTTAAAAACATTAAATTATGATATTGATTCGTTCGTAACCATTATGGAAACTTCACTAAGTACAAAATATGAAATAGAAACCATTGATAGCAATGGAAGTGTCCAACTTAAACTCACTTTAAAAAAAACTAAACAAAGCATCGCGACTGCGGGCTCATTGTTGGAGCGTTTATTCAAAAGCAATAAAACAGAAAAACATCGTATTTGCAACAATTTATGAGCGCGCGCGATTTACAGCGATGAGATATGGACGCGGCGAGTAAGTTATGACGAGGGCACATTACGTGCGCTAGTCGCCTTTTATTTTGATAGAGTTGATGTCTATCCCAGTGCTACGAGTATAAGATCGACAACGGCGCAGTTATAGAATTTTGCACCGGGCATATAAAAGGCTAGTAATCATAGTACTGGGGGCGTTATGTGAGTTTACTTCATCAAACGTATTAGATATCGAATGCGTCAAAAAAATCTATGAAAATTTTAGTGCTTGAAAGTATCTGCTAGAGGCGCTGTACAATCCGTCGTACATTTAATGTCATTTTT